ACCCTAAAATAATGTGGCTATCTTATTGGTTCCCAATAAGCTTTTTTTAAAAAAGAAGAAGACATCTTTCCTCTAGCCCCTTTAGCTTATTCATGGATTTCTGAGACTAGCAAACATTGTAAGATTAACCATAAAACAACACTAATGCATTTTTTTTAAAATCCAAAATGATAGTGTCTTTGCAAACCTTATTATACTATAAGTATTCATGGACTTTCATAGATGTATTAAAATCTTAGATGGCAGCTATATAAAAGGAGAAAATTGTAAGGTAGGCAGACAATGGCATTGAGAGGCACTGCTTACAATCAGTGATAATTAGAGCTCAAGTGTATGCTAAATAGATACACTTTGTACTCTAGCAGCCTAGTGATAATTGACTGTATAGCATTGAGATTATTGTATTTATACCTATAGTGCACAGGGAACTGCTCTCAAGAAGCAGTGCTAGATAACAGATGTAGTATAATTAAAGAAAAACCCCTTGTCTCAATTTAACCCAGAAGTGATGACATTGAACTTCTTGTTGAATTCAGCTCTTTCACATTACTCTCCTGTAGTTCCTTTGATCTGGGAAAAGCATCTTAAGGACAAGTTAAAGAGTGCCTTTAGAGATGGAAATATTATCTAATGGTTTATGGCTCTTGCCGTTTTTGATGTCAGATTTGTGTCCATTTATTATTTTGTGAAGTGCATAGACTGGCCTGTCTGTCCTATGTAGAACGTAGCAGGATAGTGTTGGAAGATAATGGTATAAATCACATGCCATTGGACGATGAAGAGGTGGACAAACTCCCGAGGTTGTGGAGGGCATTGCTTAGTCCTTTTTTTGTTTTGTTTTGTTTTATTAAATTTGCTTAATAACATAACATTATTTTATATATTCTATAAAACAAAGAATACAAAACAAAATTCACTCATACTACAATGTATAACTACATAACATTAATATATATGGTTTCTGAAAAAGGCTTACATAACAAAATCAATTCAAAATACCTTATTTATTTATTTATTTATTTATTTATTTATTTTTCCCCCTCCCCCTCCCCTGCTTGGTCCTGTTTTAATGCTACCAGAGTACAAAGTTGGGATTGGTTCCTCATATCTAAATCTATGTTACATGACTTGTTGTATTTGCTTAGACAGCAACTCACGAGCAACAAACTGCCTCCCAAGCAGTTGTGTGCAGTGAAATTTTTCAAAGAGGAACAAGCAAAACACTAGAGAAATAATGACACTTGGACAAGTTAAAGACCAAAATGCAAGGGACTGGCCCTTCTGCTCCTCCAATGCTGCTTTTTTCTTCCCCAAGGGAACTCGCCCTGGTCTTATTTGCTGGGGGGGGGGCGGTGATGGGGCAAGGGAAGACCAGTGGGTGCTGAGAACAATCACTATCAGGAAGAACCACTGGATGAACTGCCTCACAGCCATTTCCTCCCCTTCCCCATATTCCTTGCGAGCCCCACCCCCTCCCTTCATCAGTTACCCCCCCTTCCCATCCCTCCCAGGTACATTCTCCCTCTTCCCCTCACCCTTTAAACACCTCCTCCCCACCTCCACCCTGCAAGGAGAACATCGCCTCCTCCCACTTCCCCTCATGCAACTGCCACCCAGGGGTGCCCTAGTAACCCTGCCCCCCCCTCACTGGGTGACACCTCCCCCCACTTACTGACAGCAACAGCATTTTTGTGCAGCACTGGCCTCCTCACTACTCTGTTGCATTGGCCTTGGCACAGCCTCACAGCTCAGTGGCGCATGCGCAGATGCATCCTCTAAGGAGGGAAGCATTTCTTCAACTGAGTCCCTCGTCATACTTTCTAATTAAAGTACAGACGCACAGTATGGTCTTTCTGTTCACCTCACACTTCACTTGCATGCTTATAATTGCCACAGAAAAAACCTGTGTGGTGTTATCTTCAGAACACAAGGAGACACATTAAACATCAAGCAACGAATGCCCGCAATCCACGTGTAGTTACTTTGCCTGATGGACCAGCTATTGTTTTCCTGCTCCTCAGCTCCAGCTGCTCCCAGTGGGGACTCATCAGCCATAAGCGGAAGCCAACACAGGACTGCACAAAATGCACTTGCGATGGGTTTAGCAGGAAACGAACCAAGAGAACAGTCCTCAAGCAGATTGTCACTTCAGAGAGATAAAGATCACGATATAAAAAGTGAACGAGTTGGAGTAAAAGGTACACATTTTAATACTCGAATTTAGTGGGAATGTTGAGGGGACTAGCCTGGTTCCACTAGTCCACTGGGCGCACACCAATGCTCCTAAGGCCTGTTCAAAGGAAGTGCCGTCCAGAATGGGTTGTAGATCACAGAACTAATTTCTTTCTTTCTTTCTTCATTAGAGCACATTTTATTACAGTGGTACCTCTAGTTGCAGACTTAATCCGTTTCAACTAGAGCGCCTCTTCTGCGCATGTGCGTAGTGCGATTGAGAGCTTCTGCGCATGCAGCAAACCTAGAAGTAAACACTTCTGGGTTTGCCATGTTCGTAAGCTGAAAGTCTGTAACCAGAGTGGAACGCAACACGAGGTATGACTGTAATTTAAAGACTACCAGCTTTTAGTATATTTCCATGCACTTGGATCAATATTTTTATTTAATGTGTGCAGAAATGATATCACTGTCATATATAAAGAATGTACCCAAGTATCTGAAGCTAACGTGTCCACCATACAATCGTGTCTAAAATGTGAATCTGTTACATGGACTGGTTAAGGCTCAGGTTTATGGTGGACATAAAAGATATGGATGTCCTGGTAAAACAGCACAAGTGCCTCGTGTCCATGAGTCCAGATGATAAGGTAAAGGGACCCCTGACCATTAGGTCCAGTCGTGGCCGACTCTGAGATTGTGCGCTCATCTTGCTTTATTGGCTGAGGGAGCCAGCGTACAGCTTCCGGGTCATGTGGCCAGCATGACCAAGCCGCTTCTGGCAAACAGGAGCAGCGCATGGAAACGCCGTTTACCTTTCCGCCGGAGCGGTACCGATTTATCTACTTGCACTTTGATGTGCTTTCGAACTGCTAGGTTGGCAGGAGCAGGGACCGAGCAACGGGAGCTCACCCCGTCACGGGGATTCAAACTGCCAACCTTTCGATTGGCAAGCCCAAGTGGAACAGTGGTTTAACCCACAGCACCACCCGAGTCCCTAAATCACCCCTACAATTTAGAATTATTATAATATTATGCAGTGGCTTCTGGTGCTTCACACTCCTTTACTGCTAGTCATCATATGTTCTGTATATTTGTCAGGTTTGTCATTAAACATTTGAGTAGCTGTGAAGGAAGCTAGGCTGTGTGACTCACTCATCCCTACAGATCCTAAAATGACTTACCACATGCAAAGTTACATGCTATATTAGCATATGACTAGTTGACAAATGGCTTGCCAAGTAGCAAGTACACCTTTACTTGTTCCTAAGATTTCTGATTAAGGGCAGATATATGGTAAATGGTTCCTTTGGCAGATGATGATGATAGCTATATTTCTAGGAAAAGAGGTGCCAGAACTCACCGTGAAAACCTCCCTTCTTCTCTTATAATGGCAATGGTGCAATGGTAGAAATTTGTGCATGGCAGGAAGGAAGTGGATAGAGAAAAGTCTCCCCCACTCCCTTCATCATACTAGTAGACATCATGGACATCCAGCGAAGCTGAATGATGGAAGATTCAAGACAGAAGAAAGTCCTTCTTCACAAAGCACATAGTTATGGAACTATCTTTCACAAGGAGCAGTGATGGCTGCCAACTAGGATGATTTTTTAAAAAGAGGATTAGACCAACTCACAGAGGACAAGGCTATGTTAATGTCAGAGGCATTATGCCTCTGTATACCACTTGCTGGGAATCAAATAGTAGGCAGAGTCCTGTTGAGTACATCTTGCAGGCTTCCCAGGGCTTTCTGGTTAGCCACTGTAAGAACAGGCTGCTGGACTAGACTGGCCACTGGTCTGATCCAACAGGCTTGTCTTATGTTCTTATGACCTCTTTCATATATACCTAATTATCTTTTGGCACTGTTTTCTATTTCTGGGAGACTCATTTCCCTTCCAAACTGATACATCTACTATTAAAGAATGGCATTACTTACCTCAAGTGATTAGAATAACTACCCTAAAGTAGTAGAGTAATTCAATTACTCACCCCCCCCCTTAAGGAGGATGACAATGACCCGACCCCACTCCTCCCAGAAAAAGCTAATCTGTCCAAGAGGGCAAGAGCAGGAGCAGGAGGGATTCCTCCCACTCCTAACGCTGACCCACCCAGGCCTCTAGAACAAGATATTAGAGGAGCCTGCTTTCAACCGATTCCGGATACGCACCTCTACCAAGAGATTTGCATGTTGTCTGCAGAAACTATGGTTCTGGTTCTCCAAAGACTGAATGAAATCCTCACCAAAATAGTTAACATTGAGAAACAATTGGATACTAGTTCCTCCCCTTTAAATGCCCAGGGGCTTAAAAGGATGATAAGAAATGACTTTGTTAACAACTCACCTGTGATGGGATGATGAGCTGCTTGTGCGTAAAATCGTATCCCCTCAGAGTTTGTTCAAGTCCACAAACCTCTGTCTGTGACGGAGCCCCTCAGACATGGCTACTCTAGTCACTAGCAGATTCCGACAGTGGCTGCTTTCGTAATCGCTTCCAACATAAAAGCTCCTTAACGGAAACACGTCTTCTGGAATCTCTGCGTGACAGTTTCCGGCGAGGAGTGGGTGTTCTTACAGGAGGTGCTGAAACCTCCCCACTGTTTTCACTGGAAGTGTCTCTGAGCCATCCCTCCAGCTCAGCTCCTCTCCCCCTGCTGGTTCCCTCTTCAGCTGCTGCGTCTCTCCCAACCTGTGTGAGCCCTTTCACCTCCCTGTTGGTTCCCTCTTCAGCTGCTGCGTCTCTCCCAACCTGTGTGAGCCCTTTCACCTCCCTGTTGGTTCCCTCTTCAGCTGCTGCGTCTCTCCCAACCTGTGTGAGCCCTTTCACCTGTCTGACATGGCGTACAGCTTGCCTACAGGGAGCTGTGCTCCAGGGAGTAAGTTGATTTGACAGTCAAAGGGTCTATGCGGGGGTAGTTGGTCAGCTTCCCTTTCGCTGAAGACGTCACGGAGATCTGCATATTGTCGTGGTACCTTCACGTTCTCTGTTACTTCAGTCCCTGCTAGGGTGGCTTGGACCCCTGCCAAACCCTTCCCTCTTTGCAGTGTTCTAAGCAATGTGCTGAACCAAAAGAAACCACTCTCTGATGCCAGCCCACCAGCGGATCATGTAACGCTAGCCAGCTCATCCCCAATATAATGGGAGCTCCTCCCAAGGTGGCCACATTAAAAGCTATCAGTTCGGTGTGCCTTGCTACCTTCATTATCATTGGGACGGTCTGCAAGCTGACTTCTCCACCCAACAGCTCCCTGCCATCGATCGTGGTCACCTGCAGGGGGCTGCTTAAAGGGATTGTCTGTATCTGGTGTTCAGCTGCAAACTCTTTGCTCATGAAATTGCAGGAGCTGCCTGAGTCCAACAGCGCCTTTATCTTTAGAGGGTGTCCGTTTGGCAGCTCTAGCGTCACTTCTATCACTGGGCGGGTTTAGGAGGTTCTGGCGTGGGCACTCTCACTGCTCTTTGGCCTGGCTGCTGTGCCCTGACAGTGGCAGCCAGGCGTTGGCTTTACTTGCTCCGGTATATTTTCCTCTCTTCCATCCACAGCCCCTACCATCCCTTGCCATTCTTTCCTCTGGGGCAGACTCTGGCAAAGTGACCTGGCTGTTGGCAGAGATAGCATTTCCGGGCGCCTTTTCCCTCCTTCTTTGCCCCCTCACTGGGCTTTGAAACTACGCGCGCGCGCGCTGTTCCGATTTCCATCGGCTCTGCCGGTGGGAAAGTTGGCTCTGGAATGTCTGGAATGCGGAACTCCTTCCAACGTTCCCCTTTCCCTTCCCGCCTCTCCAATGCTCTCGCCTCCTGGCGCGCTCCTATGGCCAGCGCTGATTTGGTCAGCTGGTCCATAGACTCCGCCCTGGGCGCCCGGGAAAGTTCGTCTTTCACAGCCGAAGAAAGCCCTTCTTCAAAGAGCATTTGAATGGGTTCCGCCGATAAGTCCCACCCCAATCTGTGAACAAGCATGGTGAACTCAGTCCAGTACTCACGGACAGATCGGCTCCCCTGTTTGCAACCCATTAACTGTCTGCGCACCACTCCCTTTTCAATATCGCTGGAAAACATCAGATCCATGGCGCGAAAGAACTTCATCGTGTCCTTTAAGACGTCACTATTCGCTGCCATCAGGGGTCTAACCCAGTCTCTCGCCCCTTTTCAAGATGCTCAATCACGAAAGCCACTCGTGATTCCTCGTCAGGGAATTCATCAAACTGCAGATTGAGGGCATATTGCATTTCTGTCCGAAAACCATGATAGTTTTTGGGCTCCCCCCCCAAACTTCTGCACCAATCCTGGTACCTTTCTGGCGAACTGGGTGGCTTTCCCCCTTTTGTCTGCATCCTGAGCCCTCCTCTCCTCAAGCCTCGCCGTTTGCATCGCTAGCTGGACCTCCAACATCTGGTACCTTTCTTCCAGGCTTGGACCCGCTCCAGCTCCTGCTTCTCCGGTTCCGGCTGGGTTGCTCATGATGCCTTCTCCTGCACAAGCTGCTTTCAAAGACTGTCGGAATGCTGTGATGGGATGATGAGCTGCTTGTGCGTAAAATCGTATCCCCTCAGAGTTTGTTCAAGTCCACAAACCTCTGTCTGTGACGGAGCCCTCAGACATGGCTACTCTAGTCACTAGCAGATTCCGACAGTGGCTGCTTTCGTAATCGCTTCCAACATAAAAGCTCCTTAACGGAAACACGTCTTCTGGAATCTCTGCGTGACAGTTTCCGGCGAGGAGTGGGTGTTCTTACAGGAGGTGCTGAAACCTCCCCACTGTTTTCACTGGAAGTGTCTCTGAGCCATCCCTCCAGCTCAGCTCCTCTCCCCCTGCTGGTTCCCTCTTCAGCTGCTGCGTCTCTCCCAACCTGTGTGAGCCCTTTCACCTCCCTGTTGGTTCCCTCTTCAGCTGCTGCGTCTCTCCCAACCTGTGTGAGCCCTTTCACCTCCCTGTTGGTTCCCTCTTCAGCTGCTGCGTCTCTCCCAACCTGTGTGAGCCCTTTCACCTCCCTTCCGTCCGATGGCAGTTCCCTGACATCACCAACTCAATCTATGGATGAAGTGAGGTCCTGTCAAGTCTTGCAAACGAACCAGATAATGCTTGAGATTCACCGATACACTCATAGGTGGATGAACCGCAGACAAATTACTATGTCCTTGTCTCAGCTCCTGAATTACCATTACCAAAATGTAGATCTAGAAAATTTCCACTTCCTGCCTACCGTGAGAAACACCATGCGCCTATTTATGACCTTTAGGTCATCAGCCCTCCCATCTCGACTCATGGAGATAAAGGATACTCTATGGTGGTTCCATTCTCTCCGCCCAGTGAGGTTATTTAAGGACGAAACAAGGAGGCAATTGGTCCCTTGCATAGAGTCAAAGCTAATGCGGATAAGGGAAACCAAGCTCAACACTAGAAACACTAATTGCCCGAAGGAAAAAAAGAACTCTGTAAGCCTAGAATTACAAGACCTGAAGAAGAGGCTAATGAATATAAAGACTGAGATTTCTACCCAAAATATAAGGACAGTAGAGCCTAGAGCACAATATTTAAAGACGTCCAACAGCTCTTTATCCCATAGAAAGACATCAGTGCAACTCCCTGTTCCCTTTTCAAACGACACCGAATTAGATGAGGTATTTGGCGCCTCCGACATTTCTATGGGAACAACACCTAAAGAACTCCATGCTGCTGACAATCTGGAGATATCCAGCACCAAATCTACATCTGGACCTTTGCCTAATGTTCCAAAAACTTATCAGAATGATCAACCTTCTCTACTGTACTCCTGGCGAGACAGGATGAACAGATCTTCTGAATTTGAAGCTGGCTCTTTGTTGACCAGTGATCCACATTTTATAGCACATACCTCATTAATACTCCCACAGCCACAGATAGAACCAACAATCCTCCAATCAACCCAGGATGGAGAGGGGGATTGACAGTTAACGAAACACCATGGGACTGTCCTCCCCACTTGGGGTGCGGTTGGTTGGGTTTTATCTTCTAGGGATACTTACCCTATCAAACCTCCACCTCTTCCCCATACCATTTTGACCCAGGAGTCCTCGCCCAAGGATGACTTGTTATTGAGGGGATGTTACCCCTCTATTGGGGAGACTAGTATGGGGTCTGGGATTTCCACTATTGAAGGGCTAGGGAGGAATGGCGGTGGGGCTAGATATCTCTATCGGCGAAGTGATCCTCGAACCCCTTCCATTCTACGCCCCATCCCAAGGGATGAGGGTAGGGAGAGCAAGGATTACCCACCTCTGTCATTGGTGCTGTGCAATGCCAGGTCCATAGGCAACAAAACCGCCACCATGCGTGACTTTTTTGTCTCGCAGGGGATTGACCTGGCTTGCGTGACGGAGACCTCCTTTCCATGGAGGCGCAAGTTACAGCAACACCCAAGGCGACATTTTTCCACCTTCGCCGCATCAAGCAGTTGGTCCCTTACCTCTCCCGCCCCAACCTGGCCACAGTGATCCATGCGATGGTCATCTCCAGGCTTGACTACTGTAATTCGCTCTATGCGGGGCTGCCCTTGAAGCTGTCCCAGAAACTCCAGCGGGTGCAGAATGCTGCAGCGAGGCTCCTCACGGGGTCTCTGCCATGGGAGCATATTCACCCAGTGCTTTTCAAGCTGCACTGGCTCCCGGTGGAGTACAGGGTCAGATTTAAGGTGTTGCTTTTGACCTTTAAAGCCCTTCAAGGCCTAGGACCCTCATACCTACGGGACCGCCTCTCCCGGTATGCCCCACGGAGAGCCTCAAGGTCCATAACTAGCAACACCCTAGTGGTCCCAGGCCCTAAGGAAGTTAGATTGGCTTCAACCAGAGCCAGGGCCTTTTCAACTCTGGCTCCCGCCTGGTGGAACGCTCTGCCTCATGAGACCAGGGCCCTGCAGGATCTGATTTCTTTCCGCAGGGCCTGTAAGACAGAGTTGTTCCGCCTGGCCTTTGGCTTGGAGCCAATTTGATTCCCTCCCTCTTTTTATTTTTTCTTTTCCTTCTCCTCCTGCGATGAGGCTACATTTTAATATTTTAATGTTTCAATATTTTAATGTTGTATTTTAATGTTGTTTTTAAGTTGTAATAATTCAACTTGTTTTTATTATTGCTTGTAAGCCGCTCTGAGCCCGGCCTTGGCTGGGGAGGGCGGGGTATAAATAAAAATTATTATTACTATTATTATTACTAATGAGGTAGGGTGGAGAAAGAAATAATGGAAATGAGATGCAGATAAAATCTATCCAGCTTAGACTCACTTTTTCCTCTAAATTTGTTTTGTAATTATCTTTGCGTTTCTGTGCTTTTGATCCTTAAGGTGCAGGTTTTTATGGTTTGCTGAGGAAAGGGGTATACCCTCCATAAAACAAATAAAATTCTCTTGCATGCAATATACAGGTGTCAGGTAGTAGTAGAAGTATATTGAGTCTTTCTCATACATCAAATTTTTCCAGGCAACAAACAACTCAATTATCCTAAAATAGTCGTCCAGTTTGTTTCACTGCAGGAAAGCATAGCAAGCTTCAATCAAAAGGATCAGAAAATTCATTCTTTGTTTCATATGTGAACCTTACCCTCTTGGATTTGCTAATAGCAGGCTATAAATGTCAGGGAAGAAATCTCAGGGGGAAATACATTAAAATACCACAGGATAAATATTTAGAGTACAGAAATCAAGCCATTCTATCAGAGCTCAAGTGCAACGCTTTGGAAAAATGACTAATTCATGCGGGGTTTTTTATTTGCACAGCAAAATGTCAAATATCTATGGGGCTCATGCAGATCAGGCCACAGTATCAGTTTATGTGAATGACCAATGGTGAAATAATTCTTAGCTGAGATGAAAGTCATGCTCCCATGATGTTAATGGACACTCACTTGCTGATTCACAATGTTTGCACATACACAAATGACTGGATCTAAATTTCCTATCTAAATGCATCATTTGCATTCAACGCTATGTTGGCATGCAGGACTTTTCATTTCAGCTGCAGTTCTACTCCCAGACTGGTAACAGTGGAGACTGTAGTCACCATGACATCCTCAGCCCTGCCATTTGTGGGGCAGGAGGGGGGAAAGTGCTTGTTTGCTGCACCAGATTCCAGACTGGCACAGTGAAGAGGCTCAATGTGCGCCCACTGCCATCCCATGCCAGCAGTAGGACCGGCTCAGAATCCAGCAGATCCTGTGCTGGCTTCCCCCTGCCTCTGAAATGCCCCCCTGTGATACTGCCAGCAGTAGCTTCTTTTTGTTGTTGGGGTGTGCACATCAAGGCACTCTTTGCTGGTAGAACTCCCCCACCAGAAGAGGCTGGCAGCATGGGTGTAGCCAGGATTTACATTGGGGGGCAGGCTTCATGTTAGAGGGCCCTGAACCTCCGTTAGTTGAGTATTTTTATTGATTTACCTGCTTGTGGGGCGGCAGCTGCCCCCTGCCCCGCCTCCCCTTGGCTAGACCCATGCTAGTAAGGGAGGTGGATCAAAGAGGCTGGCAGGCAGCAGACAAAATGGCAGGTAAATAGTTACGAAAGCTAACAGAGATCAAACATGCAGGCAGGGAGAAAATGCACACTATCTGGAGCAAGGCCAGAAAGTGACACAGAGAAGTCTGGAGTCTGCCTGCTGCCTCACGCTTGACCTGGAAGCATTTACAGACGTATCAGGTCAGGTGGCATTAAAGGGCTGTCTGCAAGGTGAAGTTACGCAACCTTGAGGAGTATCAACCCAGAGACCTGGAGTTTCTGGTTTGGAACTTAGGAATTCAATATGTACTGAATATTCAGACAGGGTCAGAACCATGCCTACTCACTCCACCCCAGATTTCTCTGCATTCAGTGTTAATGTGAAAGGGACAATTGCAGTAGGGCCAGCAGACAGAGATTTACTCTGCCCTCTGCACATTCACTGAACACAGTAGGGTGGAGAATGTGCATGTAGACTTAGTTTGGCTATCCATTCTGAGCGGGAGCTGTGGGGAAAAATGAGGACATGACCCATATCTGTGATATGCTGAGATGGAGTAAGTTCCCAATTTTCTGTAAGAACAGCAAGTTCAGAACAACTCAAGCCAATAAGCAATGTAAGATGGGTGACATAGACTTGCTGTCATCCAAAGGTCTACAGAGTTCCAAATGCCCTGTAAGTTTCCATGCACAAGTTTCCTGTTTCCCACTCCCTAATAACAAAGAAAGCAATGCCCCCCTGTGAACACAGTCATACGGGAATCCTAAATACAGACAGAAGCAGGCTGTGTAGATTTCCCTGCCTACAGAAGCATAATTTATTATTTCAGGTTAACAACCTTTAAGTGGCAACCTCTGAAATAATGGGCAGAGCAGTCCAACACTCCATACATTGCACTGGAGGCTTGGATTGAGCAGACTAGTAACTCTGCCAGCCATGGGCGAAGCCAAGGGGAGCATGGGGGCAGCTCCCCCCCCCCCCGATCAAGTAAGACAATAGAAATAACTGACAAATCAGGTCGGTTCTGCCCCCCAACACCCCCCCCATGTCTTACATGGTCCAAAAACAAGTCTCATTTGTATTTAAGCATTCCCTTGGTGCATCTAGGCCTTCATTTCACTCTTCCATATTCAGCGCTGTCTCCCCCACCCTTGCAATAACTAACCATCTTGCTATTCTGTGGAATAGCATTTGGTGCTTCAAGCCACAGAACCCTTTTACTCAATGACAATAATTTTGGCACTGTAAATAAGTATTAGTTTGTTTAAACCCCAGTTGGGACTGAACTGCTTTTGTTAACTCCTCCAAGTACGGTAACAAGGCAAGTCCAGATACAGTGCAATAAGCTCTGTGGAATAAAGATCACCAAATATCACATACCTGTGGCATCCTTGCACAACCTGAAGAATTTGGAGCAAATGATTCAGCAGAGGAAACACAGCCCAGAATAACTAAGGAGATAGTACAAGAATACTTGACTAGTTTAGATGTATTCAAGTCTCCAGGGCCAGATGAACTGCATCCAAGAGTATTAAAAGAACTGGCAGATGTGATCTCAGAACCACTGGCAGTCATCTTTGAGAATTCCTGGAGAACAGGCGAAGTCCCGGCAGACTGGAGGAGGGCAAATGTTGTCCCTATTTTCAAAAAGGGGAAAAGAGAGGACCCAAATAATTACCGCCCAGTCAGTCTGACATCAATAGCAGGGAAGATTCTGGAGCAGATCATTAAGCAAACAGTCTGTGAGCACCTAGAAAGGAATGCTGTGATCACCAATAGTCAGCATGGATTTCTGAAAAATAAGTCATGTCAGACTAACCTGATCTCGTTTTTGACAGAATTACAAGCCTGGTAGATGAAGGGAACGCAGTGGATGTAGCCTACCTTGATTTCAGCAAGGCATTTGACAAGGTGCCCCATGATATTCTTGTAAAGAAGCTGGTAAAATGCGGTCTTGACTATGCTACCACTCAGTGGATTTGTAACTGGCTGACTGACCGAACCCAAAGGGTGCTCATCAATGGTTCCTCTTCATCCTGGAGAAGAGTGACTAGTGGGGTGCCACAGGCTTCTGTCTTGGGCCCAGTCTTATTCAACATCTTTATCAACGACTTGGATGATGGACTCAAGGGCATCCTGATCAAATTTGCAGATGACACCAAACTGGGAGGGGTGGCTAACACCCCAGAGGACAGGATCACACTTCAAAACGACCTTGACAGATTAGAGAACTGGGCCAAAACAAACAAGATGAATTTTAACAGGGAGAAATGTAAAGTATTGCACTTGGGCAAAAAAATGAGAGGCACAAATACAAGATGGGGGACACCTGGCTTGAGAGCAGTACATGTGAAAAGGATCTAGGAGTCTTGGTTGAACACAAACATGAAACCAGCCAACAGTGTGTCACCGCAGCTAAAAAGCCAATGCAATTCTGGGCTGCATCAATAGGAGTATAGCATCTAGATCAAGGGAAGTAATAGTGCCACTGTATTCTGCTCTGGTCAGACCTCACCTGGAGTACTGTGTCCAGTTCTGGGCACCACAGTTCAAGAAGGACACTGACAAACTGGAACGTGTCCAGAGGAGGGCAACCAAAATGGTCAAAGGCCTGGAAACGATGCCTTATGAGGAACGGCTAAGGGAGCTGGGCATGTTTAGCCTGGAGAAGAGGAGGTTAAGGGGTGATATGATAGCCATGTTCAAATATATAAAAGGATGTCACATAGAGGAGGGAGAAAGGTTGTTTTCTGCTGCTCCAGAGAAGCGGACACGGAGCAATGGATCCAAACTACAAGAAAGAAGATTCCACCTAAACATTAGGAAGAACTTCCTGACAGTAAGAGCTGTTTGACAGTGGAATTTGCTGCCAGGGAGTGTGGTGGAGTCTCCTTCTTTGGAGGTCTTTAAGCAGAGGCTTGACAACCATATGTCAGGAGTGCTCTGATGGTGTTTCCTGCTTGGCAGGGGGTTGGACTTGATGGCCCTTGTGGTCTCTTCCAACTCTATGATTCTATGAAATACTTGAGCTTGCATGTAACATATGACTGGTGACCTGTGTAGGTTTGGTAACATGATAGTTGGCACAGTTTTTGTACTGACTGACCTATTACCGTATTTTTCATCCCATAGGACGCTCCGTCCCATAGGATGCACCTAGTTTTTTGGGAGGGAAATAAAGGGAAAATTTTTTTCCTTTATTTCCCCCCCCCCAAAAAAAAACCAGGTCGGGGAACAGCGGGATGGCGGTGCTGCGCCTCCCCGCTTTCCCCCGAGCTTGTGGGGCTGGCCGATGTCTGCCCGAAGCACAGGGCACTCTGCTTCAGCGCGCTCCATGCAGCAGGCTGCTATCCGCAGCCTAGGGAGCCCTACGGGAATTCCCCCAGGGCTCCCCAGGCTGCAGATATCTGCCCGGCGCGAGGGGCGCTCTGCTTCAGGGCGCCCCGTGCGTCGGGTGGCAGGCTGCTATCCGCAGAGTGGGGAGCCCTGTGGGAACTCCCGCAGGGCTCCCCACGCTGCGGATGTCTGCCCAGCGGGAGGGGCGCTCTGCTTCAGGGCGCCCCGCGCCCCAGGCTGCTATCCGCAGCCTAGGGAGCCCTGCGGGAACTCCCGCAGGGCTCCCCAGGCTTGCTGATAGCTTCCTGTATTCGCCCCATAGGACGCACACAGATTTCCCCTTCATTTTTGGAGGGGAAAAGTGCGTCCTATAGGAGCGAAAAATACGGTAATTTGACCTGGTGCTAGATATAGCCCTGGTTCTGCCAGACTCAGACCTTGGTTGCTGTGTACTCAGTGGTCTATGGTGAGGGGTTGGGCATGGCAACTTCTTAAAAAAAAATTCCACTACTGTACACATCCCCTCCCATTTCCCTAAATGTCCCTTTAAAGAACTCTTCTACTAAAACCTCAAAGTTATTTTTAGATT